AAAAAAATAAATATTAGTTTATATTTTTCGTGAATAGCATTTTTAAATAATCGCGATCAAAAATATTCACTGAATCAATATCTAATTAATTCCACTTAACACTTGGGGGAATGAACAAATTATCGAGAATTTGGATCTTATTTAAAAAAATCAAAAGCTTATTCAAGCATAGTGATTTCAACGAAACTGCTATATTTAGTTACGTAAAGCATTTTACGAAGTTGAAAACTGGTTATTTTTTGTGACATTTAGTTGAAGCTTATAAGAATTTGTGTTAATTCAAGCATATATACATCAATTCTAAATATCCAGTAGCACATTCGTTTCACTCTTTTTCTCTTTCTTTCTCTCTCATTCAAATTACTCGACCTATTAACATACATAGAGATTATTTATTAAATACTTGTGGAGAATTCGAAATTCACAATTTTATTATTATAAACTGGTGTTACACACGACTGTTACTGACATGCGCGGGGCAAACAAAGAAAATCGAAGTCCAGGCAGGAATTTGCTCGAGGCTTTGGATATACCTATTAGAGGTGCGGGTATATCGTTTATGTACCCAACACGCACTTCATCCGTGGGAGCGCACGCTATATACTATATATATATATTTTACTGACTACCTATAGCATCATTATTGTTATTAATAATAGTACGTAACGACCGATAATTGCTCAAGTCTGACTGCGCCTCTGGTTTCCATTACCTTGCAAAAGTGCGCGGCAGTTCGCTCCAATCAGAATTGCGGCCTTTTGCCATGGCGCGATTTATATTTGTCGAACAGTGGCTGGGGTCCAGATGAACGACGTGTGCGTGCACAGTTCATTTTAAAGATGATTTTCTTATACAGTGAACAACCTTGGCAGCACGCACATTATTATATATATATATATATATATATATATAGAAACCCTGAATCCAAGTACAAGAACACAAAACTTTTTCAATGTTTTCATGATTGCTGAATAAGTGCCATAAGTATGTGTTATTTCAATTTTCACAGAATATGTACTGAGGATCATGATCACGATTATTCAAGTTTTCAAGCCTTAGGCTGAAAAAGTTTCTGTATATATATTGACAAGGTAAACGAGCAAATTCAGAATTAATTATATTCACAGAATTTTATGTCAATTATATACCTGCATTCTGTTTTGTAAATGAGAGATGATTTTTTTTAAAAGAAAACATGACAAAGAACGTGGATAAGCTCTAAAATTAATTTTTTAGAGTTTTTATTTTACACACGGAAAGAAAAGGAATGGTTGGGCCAACCATAGGTATTGATAAATACGTCCCATCAATATTATATGGTTACCACAACCATATCTTTAGTTGATACAACCATAGTATGGTTGGCCTAACCAAAGGTTAGGTTGTCACATCAAAATGACGAAAAATTGCAAATTTGATATGACAACCTAACCTTTGGTTGCGCCAAACCATACTATGGTTGTATCAACTAAAGATATGGTTGTGGTAACCATATAATATTGATGGGACGTATTTATCAATACCTATGGTTGGCCCAACCATTCCTTTTTCTCCGTGCAGAATTATAATTTCCTTTAGAATTTATACATTTAACTGAATTTTTATTTCTTTGAATTATCCCGAGTCGAAATTTAGACTCTATAAGTTCTCTAAAAACTTCCTTTCATTCTTCTTTTATTCTCTCCAACACTTTCATACCCTCTTTTCGACCTCGAATTTGCAAAAGTGGAAATATGTATCTGCTATATTGGAGGCTGAAAGGAGGGTTTAAAGATAGAGATGCGTAAAAGAGGTTAAAAAAACAAAACAAACGAAAAAATAAAATTAAAAAAATGTAAAAATTGGATTTTTTTTCTTATGGATATTATTTATTGACCCTATTGAAGATATATTTATTGGTCTTTGTCGTAATACTATAAAACTTTTAGGAGGAATAAAACTTCGAAAAATTCAAATTAAGAAAAAATTTCAAGACCTCTTTTCAACCTCTAAACATGCAGATTTGGAAATAAGCGCTTGATTTCAGGCTGAAAAGAGGCTGAGAAAATCGAGGGTGAAAAGAGGGAAAAATTTCGACTCGGGATATTATTTAACAGAATATCCACACTGAAAAAAATTTGCTTCGCATTAATGACTATTAACCATAGCAACTTTAAATCTAGTCAGCGTAACCAAGCATTCTAGTCAGTTCAGTTATGTAGCTTGGTTAATATTGTCAAAATCGATTTAGTAGAATTGACCCCTTGTTTACTAGTTATATTAACTAAGATGTTTGGTTAATATGACATGTATCTATAGTCAGTTTTGCTAAAGTTTAATTAGTCAAAGTGATTCTATAGCCAATGTAACTAAGATACCTGGTTATTCTGATAAGCTGCCCTATAGTCATTCCGACTAATTGTCGAAATCAACTTTGACCAAGATTGCCTAGTGGGTTCCTCTCGTAACTAGGTAAATTAGTCAATTCCTGGAATACGGGGGTTAGGAATTTTTTCCAGTGCATTTAATCGAATTTTTCACGGAAAAAAAATATTCACCTGGAACAGCGATGTATAATTCATTAAAACAGCGAAAGTTATCGCCATTCTAAACAAACATATCACTGTTCTGAATAAAGATTTTTTTCCGTGTTATATAACAGAATTGTTACTGTAACGTGTTTTGAATTTACAGAATTTTTATTTCATCGAATTTGAATTTGACAAGAATTATTATTTGCTTGAATTTTCATAAGACAGAATTAGTCATTTAAAAGAATTTTTCTTTTACAGACAGAATATAAGAAAGAATTATTTTTAAGTCGAATTTACATTTGACAGAATTCTTAAAATTCTGAATTTCTATTATCGGAATCTTCATTTGTCCGAAGAATATCTGGCAGAAAATTTTGGGGGCGAATTATCATTTGATAGAATTTTTGGTACTAAATTTTTATTTGGTAAAATTTTTATAATTATGACAGAATTTTCTATTTAGCGAATCCTAATTTGTCCAAATTTTTATTTGTACGAATTGTTATTTAATAGAATTCTTAAAACGCCAAATTTTTATTTATTCAAAATTGCAAACGGCCAAAAAATTAATCGACAGAAAGATTTCGGCGCTGTTTTTAAAATTTTTCAATCACGATTTTCTTGATAATTTCTGATTAGTCAATTTTAAAAATCGTGTGAAAATATCTTTTTATAGGTTATGTTTGTTCGGACGTTTGTAATTTCGGCCAAATGAAAATTCGTTCATTTAAGAATTCTATCAATTAAGAATTCGTGCAAATGAAAATTCAAACAAATAAAGATTCGACGAATTAGAAATTTTTATATTCGTATCACTTAAAATTCTATGTTAAATGAGAATGTAACTATTAGTTAAATCCACTTTTAGGTCATAAATTAAAATAACTAAAAATTCTCGTAAATAATTTAATTAGTCCAATTTGACTATTTCTTCACTGAAAATTATTTATGTTTTAATTACTGAAGAAAAACGTCTGTAAAAATTTTACTAATAGCTATTTTTTTACTAATTGCTTAAACAAAAAATCAGACAAGATTTTACGCAAACAATTAGTTGTTTTCAACTATAATTCAGAATTTAGACAGTGAGTCACAAATTCCTTCCGCGAACTTTTAGAAACCACTTAAAAAAGATAATTTACGATAATTCCAGTGATTTTGAAAAAGTTGAGAATTGTTTTTCTATATACACTTTATTTAAAAAAAAAAAGTGTTAAACATTGTCGTCCTAAAAACAAGTTGAGTCAAGAAAAAAAGGTCACAAATCCAAGAAAAATGGTCGATAATATATTTCTAGTGATGGTTCATTCTAGGGATATTTAACACGAGATCACGCACAGGTATATATAGTAAAATAAGCAAAAAAAAAAAAAATCAAAATCACCGCTTTAGGTTTCTTGAGCCTTCCCTATGATGTAACTATGCTTTTGATGGCAGATGTTTAGCAGTCTTCAAGCTACCGAACTATCCCAGATTCTTCCGGTTTCGTTCGACCTTGAAGATGATGGTTCACGACCCAATGGTAGTTGTGTAATATTTATGATTGGACGGTGTTTAGTCCTCCAGCTATATACCTGTATGCACCTGGTTTTCTCTCTCACATATACACACTAATATATAGACCAAAAAGCTGTAAGCTTTTAGCTGTTGATTTTCAAGTAGCGTGACGGAAACCGCACATTACCACCGATGAGTACTGTCGCCATCAAGTCTCTAATTTTAACTTAAAAATTGATCCTTATTAGTAAATAACAGATCGTTTCGTTTTTGGCTATATATATATATATATAAGAAGACTTATTTTTCTAAATGTTGTCGTGATACTTTGTGCAAAAATGCAACTCTTAGTATGTATGTGTGTGTTGTGCGTGTACGTGGACCAGCAAAAAAAAAAGGATAATTGCTGGTTACAATATTTTTCAACAATAATCCCTTTTCTTTAGAACGATAAGGACGTAATTGTCCGCATTCTTTTATATATAATCTTGCGGCAAGAAAAAAGAATGTTTTTCAGAGCGTATTACAAGTCGTCGCTCATTATATAGAAAAGATACAAAATTAACTCGCATAATTTTGGGTCGAAAAAAAGGAATGTTCACGAGCAAGGTTAACTTTGGATATATTTAAACAATTAGTGATTTGACTTTTAGAAAATTGCTTTTTAAACCACATTTGGGTTTTTATAGCTTTTATATAATATTTAATATTTGACCGACTTTGGATACAGAAAATATTTCGATTTTTTTTTTCTACTTGGCAATTTTCTCGTCAGTAGTAAAGTACATTTCTGTCAAGACATTTCTATTTATGTACAAAAACGCCTTTCTTCAAATAAAATGTTCTCTCTTTATGTATATAATACAGCACTGACAGAGAATTAATCCGGTTTTCTTTCGCTATATACATATATATAAGAATTCTATATAATCGTGTCCAGCCTTTCTTGGCTTTAGCATCTACTTAGAGGTCTGTTTATTCGCTTTACAGGCACCCTCCGCCCACCAGGTCTGATTGGTGGCAGCAAACCTAAGGTAGCGACGCCCGCAGTAGTCGCCAAGATTGAACAGTACAAGCGAGAAAATCCAACCATCTTCGCCTGGGAGATTCGAGAACGACTTATTTCCGAAGGTATTTGAAAAAAATAAACAATAAATTCTTTTATCTTACAATTAGTTACGCAGAATAACAGATGCCAAGGATTATTTAAAAATAATTGGAAACATTTGACGTATATCCTTTGTGAGATAGAATTTAATTTTTATTTGCATATCCCACAAGGGAAAGGCGATAAAATAGATAAAACAAAAAGTTGTAAAGTTCCTTAGAAAAAAATCATCAAAGCCAAATCGGATTAATAATTTTTCAAAAAACTACTATGGAAAAACTTTTTAGAATTAGTTGTATAGCATTAAATATCTAAGCAGAATTAGTACCAAAAAAATCTTGTTGGTTTTTTCTAATTAGGTGTTTGCAGTAATGCAACAGCACCATCCGTAAGTAGTATCAATCGAATTCTACGTAATCGAGCGGCGGAACGTGCCGCTGCTGAATTTGCAAGAGCCGCTGGTTACGGTTTATATGCGGCTGGACCGCATCCATATTTTAATTCAGCGCATCATCATCCAACGTCGGCACATCATTTATCATCAGGATGGCCAACGCCAAATGCTGGTAGTCATCCTTGGGTGTTACCACATTTAGGAAGTGGAATGTCAGGTGCAGCATCGTCATTATTACTTCCAACATCATTGAGTCCAGGGGCTGCTGCCGCTGCAGCGGCGGCTGCTGTTGCTTCAGCATCCGTCGCCGGAAGTCCCGACCACGCACTTCATGCAGCCGACGCTATCGCTCGTGGATATCTCCAAGGTATTTATAGTGTTCAACCATTTCCATCCATTATGCGCTTAATCAACCTGATCTTTCATTTTTTATCACTTGTATATTTAATGATAATTAATTGCTTAATGCTTTTATTTATACAAACGAGTGCATCAAGTCTGACAAGAGTGTAAATTTATAAATAAAAAAAGGAGAAGCAATATTGATATGTAGACGCGAATAGATTTAAACGAGGGTCGTTAAATTCTTTTTTAAACTTGTTTCTATTTTATGTATTAGTATTTTATTTCGCGGTAAGAGGGGCATAACAGATCCTGATGTCATAAGAGTAAAATCTACTAAACAGAATAGTTGATTTTTGATTGACAGAATAGATAGCAGGTTCTGCTAAACAGAATCCTTAGTTTTGGATTGGGCAAAAAGATTTTACTAAATAAAACAGTTTCGGATTGACCAAAAAGAGAGCAGATTCCATTAAACATAATCGTTAATTTTAGACTGACCCAAAAGATAGCAGATTCTACTAAACAGAATCGTTAGTTTCGGATTGACAAAAAAAATAGGAGATCCTACTTAACAGAATTTGTTAGTTTCGGTATATAAATACTTTGATTAGTTATGGGAGATAATTTTTAGACAGATTGTAAAACAATTCGCAAAAAGTCTATAGATATTCCGCAGATTTTACTGCTGTCTCCAAAAATCAGCCCGAATAAAAATTAAAGTCGCCATTATATAGGACCTATGACGGTTGGCCTACCTGGCGACATAGGCCTGCGACTTTTTTTTGACATACTGTCTACATAGAAATGTAACGCTTGGCTACATAGGGTGTACATAGGCCACGAGATGTAGGACCTATGTAGGACTTTTATACTAGCTTGTATATAGGTCAGATGATGTAGGATCTACACAAGAATGTAACGCTTGGCTACATCCAATCTACGTAGGCTAACATACGTAGAGCCTACATTGAAAGGCATATTTTCATTAATTAATAATTAAATTATTATTTAAAAAATCAGGAAAATTAGTAGTTTATTTCAATATAATCTAAACAATATAAATTCAATAAAAAAAAAGTACCTTTCATATTTTTGCGGGATTTTCCTATACAATGGTAGGTGAGATTTGAGCCCTCTACTCTATAGTGTTGTGTGTGCAATTGGGTCTGGGGAGGGGAGCCTACAACCATTGGGAGCGGCGCCTTAACGCTCTCGACCAAGGGAGGCTATGAAGGTTCCGTACAAAGTTAAGAAATAAGTGGAGTAGCGTAGATGTTCTCTTACAAAGCAACGCAGTAGAACTATTATAAGTATAGCGCTATATAGTCACAATAAAATACAGCAAGTACACAAGTACTTTATATTGAATTAATATTGATTTATATTAAAAATGGATAACAAAATTTTATATTAGTATTATTTGTTTACAAATAAAATAATTATTATGCATTAAAAATTATGACAATTATATAATGTCATTATGAAACAAAAATCTTGTTTTTAACGTATAATTATTATTTTAAATAATATTAAAACGTAAAATGACTTAAATGTTCAATAATATCAAACATGCAGAGTATCAATTTGTAATTTTTAATAAATCCAAATTTAATAAATTAATAATAATAATAAATTAATAATTTAATAAATAAATAATAAATTTAATAAATAATTTTTAATATAATTTGAAATTTTAAAATAAGTGATTCAGAAATATTTCTAATATAAGCACCTATATAAAAAGACCTATTCTACATAAAATATGTTATGTCCTACGACCTACATTGAATGACCTGCAGGAAAACAATCTCAATCCTATGTCATGTGTCTTATAAAAATCCTACATAAACAAGCCTGCGTACATGCTATGTAGTTATTACATTTTAAGGCCTATATAGAAATGCAGATATTTTTTCTACATAGAATGTATGTTAAAAGGCCTATACAGATCCTACATCGAAAGGCCTAAATAAATTCTACATAGTTTTGATATCAAATGGCCTACGTAGAAAGGCCTATGCATTTCAAACCTAGTATGTATGTTAGAAAGCCTATGTAGAATCTACATCAAAAGGCCTACATACTTTCTACATAGTTTTGATATCACATGGCCTATGTAGAAAGGCCTATGCATTTATTATCTAGAATGTATGTCAAAAAGCCTATGTAGAATCTACATCAAAAGGCCTACATAAATTCTACATAGTTTTGATATCAAATGGCCTATGTAGAAAAGCCTATGCATTTATTATGTAGAATGTATGTCAAAAGACCTATGTAGAATCTACATCAAAAGGCCTACATAAATTCTACATAGTTTTGATATCAAATGGCCTATGTAGAAAGGCCTATGCATTTATTATGTAGAATGTATGTCAAAAGGCCTATGTAGAATCTACATCAAAAGGTTACATAGATTCTACATAGGTTTGACATCAAATGACCTATATAGAAAGGCCTATATATTCCCTACCTAGACTGTATATCAAAAGGCCTATGTAGATGGCCGTCTTAAATTCTATACAGATGCGATGTAAGATTTACATCTGCCGTCTTAAATTTTTACTCGGGAGAGGAATGTCTACAGACTTTCTACAAATTGTTTTACTTGGAATACTTTGAAATCGCAGTAAATTTTTAATAATTCTAAAATAAAGTCAAATGTTTTATTAGAAACATTTGTTTTCCTAAACGTATGCTAATCAAATGATTGTCACCCGACAAAGGTGATTTTTGCGCAGACGGTGATGGCGATGATGGAAGTCTTGATGGTTCGGAACAACCGAAATTCCGTCGCAATAGAACGACATTTAGTCCTGAACAACTCGAAGAATTGGAAAAGGAATTCGAGAGATCTCATTATCCTTGTGTATCGACTAGAGAGCGTCTAGCGTCAAAGACCTCACTTTCGGAAGCACGTGTACAAGTAAGTTGATGATTATATATTTAAAAAAAAATTTTAAAGAGCACAAAAAGATCTTCATATTGCATATCTATATATCAATCTATCAAAAAATTAAGTCACGAGCCATCTAACGAACCTAACTCGTGACTCTTAGGTTTGGTTTTCCAACAGACGGGCAAAGTGGCGGCGTCATCAACGAATGAATCTCTTAAAACGTTCGCCACCGCCGCCACAGTCGCAGCAACAGCAGCAACAACAGCAGCAGCCGCCGCCACATTCCGCTGGATTAGACATCAACCGTACAGCGGGTTGCTCCATTGGCGGAATGGGCGGCGAAAATAGTGCCTTTCGTGCTGTTATCACTGGACCCGCGGAACGTATTGAAAGGATTGATAATCCGACGAGGCAACCAGAAAGAAAACCAAGCGCCTTTCGAATGATTAGTCAATTGGTAGGTGAAACATCTCCAAGTGCTCCTCGTTCATCGAGTCCAAATCAACGTAATCATGAACCGGGAGTTGATTCTGGTCCTGGGAGACCGGAAATTGAATCAATTGACGATGAGGATGAAGAAATTGATGTTCAAGATTCCGATCAGGATGTACCGTCACCATCGCCAGTTACTTGGAGGGATCATTGGACTGATCAACAACCACTTGAATTGACCAAACATGATCGTTGAAGTCGCGTATTAGTTTTGGTTTTTTTGTCACCAGTTGTGTCTCATCAGATTATTCAGGGCATTGGAAAGCGTTTTGAGATTTAGGACGACACCATAATATTGGCTTCGGTATTATGCGGAGAAATTAAATTTTTTTTAATCGCATCAGTATTGTTGTTATATATAGTTTGTGTCTTTTAGAAATGTTTAATTATTCAGGACATAATTGTAAAAAAGTATGTTAAAAAAATGAATTCCTTATTTCTTTTATGGTTTATCAGATTATTTTATAAAGAAATTAAAACACTTTTCCGCATTTTAAATTAAGTATATTGTATCTTCTAGGAAGGTACAAGTACGTGTAATATTCGTATATGGTGAATATAGTTAGGAATTGATTTTCTGTTAATTGCTTCATAAGAGAACATATGTATTTCTTATGAGTGTCTCTGCATTTGTTATGAGAGTCTCAGTTTTTCTTCGAGTTATATGGTACTTAAATACTATAAATACTAAAGAGGTGTGAACTTTTCCTGGAGTGAGGTAAAATTATAAACTACATAAAATTGGAATCTTATAAAGAAGTATATAGTTTTAGTTTAAAAAAAAGAGTTTTAATCTATGTTATCAAATTGCAAAACTTTGGTACAATTAATTTTACAGGAGAAAAACCTTTTTAAAAAATATGTTTTATAAGTTTAAAAAGTTCAAAAAAACAATTTGAAAATTTATTTGATTCTACTCAATACTTTTTCAAATTATTTTGACCAAATTTTGCAATTTCTACTGTGAAACTTTTTTTTCCAAAATAGAAGTAAATATGTTTACTCCAAAAGGAAAGTATAAATTTATTCAAAACTGAGAATATAAATTTACTCCAAAAAAGTGAAAATATTCCAAAACATGAGTGAATATTGACTCCAAAGTGGAAGTAGAACTTTATTTTACAAATAGTGAAAATATTCAAATTTGGGACTAGATTTGGACTCTAAAAAGGGGAGTAGTATTTACTCCAAAAAATTGAAAATATTTAAAATTGGAACTAGATATGAACTTCAAAAGGGGGGAGTAGTATTTTACTCTAAAAATAGAGAAAATATTCTAAATTGTTAAAGTAAACTCTAAGAAATTTATAGTAGAAGGCATTTCTACTCCTTGAGAGTAATTTTTACTATATTTAAAAATCATTAGGATTTCGATCCCCTAGGTTTCGTTTCAAATAGTAAAATTTCACTTCCATGGAGTGATATTTCACTCCAGTCTTGGTGTGAATTTTTACCTACATTTTGAATTAAAATTTCCACTGCAATATAGTAAATTAAAACAGACAAGTTAAAAATTTTGGAGTAGATTTATCGGTTTTAAAAATCAATTACTTAGGTGTAAATTTTAACTCCAAAAAATTTAGCCATTTAAATAACACTTTTAAAAAGTATAATTTTACTCCAAAAAGAACATAGGATTCTCATTCAATTGAAAGAGTGACACTGTGACTTCTCTTGCAGAGCGAAAATACAAATCTTTGGAGTGATTTTCACTCCTATCGACTGTGTAAATACTATTATTATTTCTAGTAGAGCGTCATTGCAATTCTAAGCGCATATGTGAAAATCTCACAATTCGAAACTATTTAGAATGTACATCTATATTTACTGCGACTATTTAACTATTATCAACGTCATTGTTTGTACATATAGTTCGAAAAAAATGAGTTTTGTGAGAAACGAAACGAGAATTATCCCTCCTCTGTTAAAACATAGTAGCTAACACTGGCTCAACGCATCCTTTCTTATCTACACTGAAAAAAAAATTTATTTGATTCAAATACCGGTGTATTTGGTTATTATCAAATAAATATTTACTTGAATCAAATATTTCTTATTTGAATCAAATAAATGGTATTTGCTTCAAATACTGAAATATTTGATTCAAATATTATATATTTGATTCAAATAAGAAATATTTGATTCAAGTAAATATTTATTTGATAATAACCAAATACACCGGTATTTGAATCAAATAAATTTTTTTTTCAGTGTACCTGAAACGCTAAAACTACTCTCATCGAAGCAGAAGGCGAGCTGCGTCTCGCTCGGAAAACTAGTCCTATATAGAGAAACACTTTCGAGCGCAATAGGTATCCATTTCCGTAGCAAATGTTTCACACCTCTCGGATATTTTCAAGAAGAATCCTTGGTTAAAAAAAAACAAAAACTAAAGCTACAATTTCGCAGAAGCAATGGATCTTTCAAAGTGGCGTGAGAAATTTGAGCAAACGTTTGCTATAGAAAATGGTTATTATACTCGCATTTATACAAAAAAAAGTGCATCTGAACGTATATGGTAGATAATTATTATGTTAAATCCTTTTATTTAAATGAATCGTTTGTAAATATGATTTGAATTAGTTGTTTTTATATACCTTCCTCTTCCATATCCTATCAAATCCTAGAAAAAAGTGTTATTTTAACACCAGAAATGGTGTTAAAAATAACATAGACTTTTTTTCTGTACTCTCTAAGTTTTAATTTTGCTGATTCAAATTTAGAAAGTATAGAAAAAAATCGATCTTGAAAAGCGGTTACACACTGTCAAAAAGGGAGTAAGATTTTAACTCCTACACTGTAAAAAATATGGGGACCCACTTGGAAAGATTCCCCGGAAAATGCCCCCTGGAGGTTCTATCAGAATTCCGCTGGAACTTCCAACGTGATTCCGTCGGAATTCCACCGGAGTTCCAAAGAATTTCCTATGGAATTCCATCGGAGATCCAAAGAATTTCCGATGGGATTCCGATTAATTTTTTTCAAAATTTTTAGAGTTCTAATTTCGTCGGAAGTTTCAGCAGAATTCTGATAGAACCTCCAGGGGGCACTTTCCGGGGAATCTTTCCTATAGTGGAGAGCAACTGGAGTTGGGAGTAGAATTTTTAGAGTTGAAAATTAACTCCAAAAGTAAGTTAAAATTAGATTAATTCCCTTATTAATAACTTCTTATAAAACTTTAGCATCAACTCCAAAAGTGTATGGGACTATTATAGAATTACGTTGGGAGTTAAAATTATACTCCCTTTTTAGTGTAACAGGATATTTATAAAAGTCGCACTCTTTTGGACTTGAAGCAAAGGAAATTGATGCTAAAGATTTGATTTTATACCTAGGGAGTTAATGCTAAGGGAGCTAATCTAATGTTGACTCCCTTTTGGGGTTGATTTCTAACTGCGAAAATTTTACTCCCAACTCCGGTTACCATTAACTGCCGAAATTTTTGGCCCTTACGATCAAGAAAGGATATATTGGATACGTTTCGGGATGTGTAAAAAAATTTCAAGAGTTAAAGGCAATCGAAGTTGGGAGTATAAATTTCAGAGTTAAAAATCAACTCCAAAAGGGAGTTAACATTAGATTAGCTCCCTTATTATAGTAATTCCTTAGGCATAAAACTAACTCTTTTAGTATCAACTCCAAGAGTGGGAATTTTATACAATCCCGTTGGGAGTTACAATCTAACTCCTTTTTTATAGTGTATTTGCCAGTCAATAAAGGGCGGGTTTTGTTGAATTTATGAGCATGTAGGGTGGAAAAGGACAAAAGATAGAGGGAGGGAAACAAATCGGCGGTACTTGTAATGCGAACAAACCTTGCCAAAGGCATTAACACTATGATGATGATGATGATGATGATGGTGGTGGGTGAGTGGTCGGCACTCCCACCATAAAAAAAAGGAACTACCGAGCAACAAGCGGCAAGAAAAACAAACGACAGAAAATCAAGTGAGTATGACAGAGAAAGAAGCAATAAAAAAAGAGAGAAAGATATTTCTGTCTTTAGGTAAGGTAAAACAGAGAAAGAGAGTGTGAGGCAGCCAGGCAGTCAGGCGCGAGAACGGGAACGTAACAATTACTATCTGAGACCGATCGGCGCGGAAAGATTAACGATCTTACTCTTACCGGGACGTCGGGTGCCTCCACCGCGATTGCTCACGAGACGAGGGGCACATTAAAGTCACCTTCTTCTTTCTCAATGAGATATTGCCCAGCGCGAGGCGAGCACCTTTTCCAGCCGGTGTGCTGGTGTCTTGTAAATCGTACGTCGTTTGCTTGAAAACGGATTGCGAATAAGCCCACCGAAGGCCGAACGAGAAGCTTGTGAACGAAAATAAGTCTTTTTAAGAAGAAGACGACGACAAGGAGTCGATTCGCGTGGGTTGATTATATACACATATACTTCTTTGTACCGTAACAGTTTAAGGACCGATTTTATACAATAATCTTTCTTGTCGTCTGATTTGATTGAGCTGTAAATTCTAACACTTGAGAAAGAATTCTACATAGATATAGAAAATCTTGCTTCGAGGCAACGAATAATAAATGAGCGCAACCCGGATATCAATTACTAAAGAAGAGGGGGAACGATTTATATAGAGTCGAGATTTTTTTTTCTTAGAAATATATTCGACGAGGGTTGTATGAGGTCAGGTTTCGAACGAGATTACACCGAAAGAATGTAATTATAAATTTTTAAAAGTTTTATTTTAATTAGAATATTCTTAAATTTAAATTTACGTTTTCTTGGTGTAGTTAAAAAAAAAATTCTCCGATTTTCTTTATTATTTTTTGTTATTATTTTCAAATTCCTACTGTGTACAATCGCATATTAATTTTAGGTTTACTGTCCATTTGTCATCAGTCAGTCAATTTTTCAAGTTGAAATAGAAAAAAAGGTAAGGCTGAATATAGAAAAAAAGTAAGTATAATTTGTCTGTATATTATCTATTCAAAACTAACTATTTTACACACAGAAAGTAGAAAATCTTGGCTAATTTTGTTGTTTTAGTAATAATAATTTCTAAATTTAAGTAGAAAGCAATTAGTAAAAATAGAAATTAGTTTTGTCAATTATTAAAAACTAACTAGTTCTAAGATGTTATTAAATTTTATTAAAAATATATCTGAAAAATTAGTAGAATAGTAGAAAATAGAAAAGAATGAAAAAGTTACTAGAATTTTTAGTTACTTTTACATAACCCAGAAGTAAATTTAACTAATAATAAATTTTAACTAAATGATTAGAAGAAATAATTTAAATAAGTGACTAACTTTTTTTGCTATAAAATATATAGTTATATGTTTAATTAATTCAAGTCTAGAGAATAAATTGATAAATTAATTAATTAGCAAACTTTGATAAAATGAGAATTGCTCGCGCACATAATGAAGGTAAAATCATATTTTCTGTCAATGTAGTCAGTGTGTGGACATTTGTAAGAAGATATAAATATTTAACATTGAGCGGCAAAGGATTAAAAGAAGTCTCATCTTGTTTTTAAAAGAAGAGTTCTCTGACACCGTTTGTTAAGATGCCGGTTTGTTGAATTCAATCTAGTGGAAAATGATATTACGCTTGAACATCAACTCGACGTTCAAATGGAAACATCAGTATGTTTGATGGAGAATATATATATACACACGCACACATAGATAAATGCAAAGGAGTTATACATATAGTAGCCTGGGAATTTGAGACACACAATTTTACAAGAAAAGAATCACAGTTTTGTAAAAGTTGTATTTAAAAAAAAGAAGGTTTTTTTCCCCCTAAGAGCCAACATTTTATGTTGAATGTTAACACGATCATTTATCAGATTTTCTTCGAATTTTACATGGTTCTTATCATTTGTAAATGATTTAAGTAATAAGATTTTAAATCATTTTTGTATTCACAGAAAATACCTGATATAATTTTTATTCTTTATTTGGGTTAAAATTATACTTTTTTTCTTCAGTGTTTTTTAAATTGGTACACTCAGAAAAAAATTCGTTTGAAGCAACCAAATTTTGGTTAAATCAACAAAATAAATGCATTGATATACAGTTAACCAAACATAAACCAAACGTTTATTCAGCTCAATCAAATTTTTTCTTTGTTCAAAAAATTTATTAAAATAAACCGCAAACTGTTATTTAGATCAAATAAATATTTATTTGAATTAAACAAATTTTGTTTGAACTAACCAAAAAATTGGGTAAATATAAAAAAATGGTATACATTTGGTTCAAACATATATCTTTTTTCTGAGTGTAGCAGAGGTAGCTAAATATTACTTAAGGGAGCTAAATATTAGCTATAATCTCTAAATATTATCTAAGCCAGCTAAACATTAGTTAAAGCCAACTAAATATTTACTAAAGTAGCTAAATATTACTTAAGATAGCAAAACATTATCTAAGCCAGCTAAATATTAGCTAAAATTGATAAAAAAAAGCTAACTGTGAAAACAGGTGTCTTATTTTAAGACACAAAACTTCTTAAAATTGTCTCAACTTATTGCATTATGATTAAGAAAATATCTAAAACTTTTCGTTATTGGCCGAAATTTAAGACACACACCATTAAATGTCCTAAAAATCAAGACACAAATATGTCTTAAAATAAGACACATTTTTTTTACAATCTAAAACAAAATATATTTTTCACAGCAAATGAGTGCAAAATTTTGCACGTGGAAGTCGACGCGTGAGCCTTTGCAGCTACTACATCAATGTTGAAAAACGAGATAAACTGGCAATATAGGTATAATTCAACGGATGCGGATGGGTGGATATTTGCTCTTCACGAAGAGAGCTCTATCTCTCGGGTATAGCTTTTTTCCCCCCTGTCTCTAATTGATCGTTTTCGAATACTGGAGAATGTATACGTGTCCGGCCGCGTACTCAGATACGACAAGAGCGACGACGAGTATATTTTGAATGGTATGGTGCGAGAAAAAAGAAGATTATACGATGGTTAAGCGAGCCGGAGCCAATTAGCTATACGTTTCCAATGCTTAGGTTTCTTCTTCTTCGTGGAGTTTGCACACACACACATATATATATATATATGGTCAATAAAACCATTGGCTATGGCTTTATAAGTGACCTGGAAGGCTTCCGGGGCCCCCAAACTCCTTTTTTCAAAGGGGGGGGGGCATCGGGGATATATATATAGAAACAGGAACGACGAGAACCCTATCTTATCCGCGAAAGAAGTTTATAGCCCGGTCGACTCTAATTGGGCGAGAAATCATCGGGCACTCCCTTTCTCTCCTCCGCGCGGTCAAAGACGCCACCACTAATTCACGATATATATACAAATAAATAAAATTTTTGATCCAATTCTTTATTTTTCATGAAAATTATATTTATTTCTTCTTTTGAAAATTAGAAAAAGGAGATAGCTTCCGTATGAAAGGTAATTCTGAAGAAAATGTGTAAATAATATAATATATGTATAAAAGAAGAGAGTGTTGAAAGTAATGGCGCAGAAGCTACTCCTACTACTCTCTTGCTTTTTTCATTTTCTCTCTTTCTCTCTTTTCCTCCTTGGGGCCTGAAACGAGCCGACTAGGATGGTGTCGACG